GCTAAAGGGAGAATTTCTGATAATTGTGTTCGGACCATGTCCATCAGTCACTCATATTCTTCTATAGAAGTTACCAAAAACATATTTTTGGGTATATTGAGTCCAATTTGTTCAATAAAGGGCAACACTCTTTCTGTGGTGAGATGATTCTAAAAAAACGAAGATTTAATGGCATATTTTTTAAATTCTTCTCAATAACCAATGTCTTAGAAAAAATCATTTTAAGGGAGAAGTCGTTGCTAAACAAACAAAAAATCACTATGCCATTTTGAACAAAAAATACATATTATATTATTTAATTGCAGACAGCATGAGAACAATTACATTATTTCAAAATAGGAATAAACAACATGAATACTTTTTGAATATTAAAAGAAATGAAGCTTCCGAGAAATAATTAGTCAGTAAATACCAGGTGAAGATATATAGCTTTGCAAGGAAGTATTTGATTTTGTGGCAATTATGGATAGCTGCAGAACAGTGGCTCACCGAAAAAAATATTGACAGACCAGAGAGCCACAGTGCAACCCACTGAAAAAACTGTATATTTATTTTTCAATGTTTTTTAAACCGTCGTCTCAAAATATTATTAATCGTGTGTTCCTAACTACATATATATGTAGCTACAGAACTGTTGATCTCCGAAAATATAGTTTGACAGACGGGAGAGCTACACTGCCATCCGTTGAAAAAAAAGTGATATGGATTTTTGCGCACAAACATTTGCGATCGGTTCTGCAATAATTCTTCCAATTTCTTTATTCAATTGCAAAATGCTAGATTTCAAACAATTCCTTACTTCTCTATCAATTACCCTCGTAATTGACATCTGCACGAAGCACGTTAGACATACAGAATTATCTTGCAATCCCAAATTGCAGTATAAGTAACGAAATTTTCGATGATCTTAATTTCAGGACCAGGAGGGCCACAAACATCAATTATATGGAATGTTGTGTTGTGGAAACGGTGAAAGAAATATGGTAAGAACACACGGTTAGTAATATTTTGAGATGATGGTTAAAAGAAAACATGGAGAAATAAATCGATAAACAGCGCACTTTTTGTGCGCAATGAATATACGGTTTTCCTCAATGGGTGGCACAATAGCTCTCCGGCCTGTCAATACTTTTTTCGGAAAGCTACTGTTCTGCAGCTAAATTAGAGACTGTTCAGAATTGAGACACTCATCGCAAAATATAAGGCTAAGCATGGTTGTTTCCTAAGGGTGCCTGAACTCAAGAGTGACAACTCTTTCCAGACCTGATAATAAATGATGCTCCTCTTCTAACTAAACTGTCCATACTTGTTTTATTATAATGAAAAATGGAAATAATTTATTATAAGATGCATAAGAAAGTATCAGGTAGCATAATCAGAGTAAAAACTCTTTTTTCTATGTGTTGATATTGAGGATTCACTGTTCACAGAATTTGCCGTTATCATATTATAAATATTCGTCATTTTGCTTTACTCGTAGATTAAGCTTTCAGCTTTGAATAGAATATTACATGATACCACAATTAAAATCAAAGTACTGAAAGTACTGTTACGAGTTGATGGTATTGTTTGTATGTTGTTTAACATCCCTCTCGAGAATTTTTACTCATATGGCTAGGCATCATCACTTGCCAGTGTAGAGCTGCAAATTTTGCCCTATACTCGGTACTTTACGGCCATTGATCAGTGATGGATCTCTTTTTTCGTGCCAGCACATACTGCGACACAGGACATCGATTTATACGCTCTCATCTGAAGGACCGGTCGCCACGTCCCATAGTGGGATTCGAACGCACGATGTAAGGATCAACTACTTACTGTTAAAATGAGTTGAGGTCACTTATCCATACTTTGGTTATATGTGTTATGTGCTATAATGAAAAAATAAATAAAGCAGCTTTTCACACAAATATTTCAAACTAAGACGACCAATCTTCAACAATATTAAAATAGAGAATTATAACTTATAAAGAGTGCAAATGAATAATTTCATTAATATGCACATTTATATTATATGCACATCAAATATTTTCACTATATATATATATTTTCATAAATTGACAAATAATTTGACATTTTCAGTGCACATCAATATGTTTCATTTCTCGTGATTGAGCCACTCTTAAATTTCAAATCCTCTATTTTCATTGATATGCATATTACAAAATTCAAAATTCTTGATTTGTTTACTATGGTGATTGAAATTCCGTTCCATGTCTTTCAAAATTTGCATGTATATTTGTTATTTTCTTGATTTAGCCACTCGTGAAATTCAACTCCTTGTTTTGTATGATCTTTGATATGCAAAAAAAAAAAATACTCCAATTCTCCCGATTTAGCTGCTCTTAAGATTCAACGCTTTTTGACTTTTAATTGAAATGAACATTTTAATTTTATGTTTTTTCGTTTGGTTTAGACACTTTTGAAATATATCTTGACTACCTGACTTCAATTAATTGATTTGCACATGTAATATTACATTTCTTTCAATTTAGTTCTCTTGTAATTCAACAATAATTCAACAACATGACTTTCATTGATAAATCTATGCAGAATTAATATTTCAAATCTTTTTTTTGCTTTTTGATTGACTGAAGACTTTAACTTTATCACAATAGCATGGTATATTAATCGTTTATATAATCTATTTACTTTTGAATATATTCGATTTTTCAGTCTCTTCATTCACATTTATAAACAAATATTTCTCATTTTATTTATAAATAACACCCGATTTAATCTTTTTGTATTTTTTTGATTATTATTTTATCACTGTCTTCTGTACTTTAAATTCACTGTATCACATTGCTAGCATCTGATAGTAAGACACAGCTGGATATAGTAAAGGAACTCTCTTTCCAGAGTAGCGCAGATAATTAATGATAAGAATCACAGGCATGTTAAGTGACCTCTACTGTATTTAAAGCTTGCTGTGATACAGATCTAAATTGTGGAAAACAGTAGTTCTTTTATTGTTTGCACAAGAAGTAATGGCATGTACATAAAAATATTTTATCAACTGGTAGAGCTTATTTCATCCATTTAAGATTAATATTTGATTTACTTCGACCATCTTTACTAGGTGTTTCTCGCTTTGTTTACAAACATAAGTAGTGTTCTATATGTAAACACTTCATCACTAGTTATCGCGGAAAAATTGCACTGGTCATTAGCATACTGGATCAGCGCAAGGATTAGTTTATTTATATACCACTAACACGTCAGTCTTGTAAAAATAACCTGGTTTGTACAATATTTAATTTTGTAAATATTCTTTCAACATCTATTTTCAAATTACAGACTTATAATAGAAAATATTTATTGACTTCAAAATCAAAACTTTGTTTGCACGACATATCACAATTTTTGACTGCATGCCTCTTGCACTATTTCCTCTCGCGGATTGACACAAATTCCAAAAAAATAAATAATAAATATTTAAGTTTATAAACACTTCAAAGCATTTCAGGAAATATATTCTTATTCTGTAGATCATGAATTTGTAAATAAGCGAATATTATACAAGAATCTGTACGCAAAATACTCAAACGAAAATGTGATTAGTTTCGATACATGGGGAATCCCTTACTATTAACATAACATGAGTTGATACCATCAACTCGTAAAAAACGATCGTTACAGACTTGAGTGTGGGGGTTTGGCGTGACATTGACTTCACATCATATTATAAACTATATGTACGAGTCAGAACGCCGTTTTATTCTTTTTCCAGTCTTCGGCTAAGGTGATAAAAAATTGCCCGTTGTATGTCGTCGTTGTATGTTTGCTGTCGTAAACTTGTCTCATTTTCATATTTTCTCAAGAACATTGGACCATTTTTAACCGAACTTAACCTTAACCTAACCTAACCAAAATTGCTTCCACGACTTCTTCTAGGGGGAGATAATGAGGTATAAAAATGAGTGAAAATTTAATGGCATCTCTTAAAATCTTCTTCTCAAGAACCTCAAATTTGTCCAAATTCAAAATTTAAAATAAGAATACATACGGAAAACCTGTAAAATTCTTCTTTGCAAGAAACATTGGGCCATGAAAAATGAAACCGATGTGGAAGTTTCTCCTGGTAGTGTAGATTAAAGTTTATTCAAATCATGACCCCAAGGGGTAGGGTGTGGCCATGATCGATGGGGGTACAAAGTTTAACATAAGAATACGTAGGGAAAATCTCTAAAATTCTCCTTCTCAAGAATAGCCGAGCCATAATTGGTAATAGTTATTTGGAATCATCCTCGGTTAGTGGAGATTCAAGTTTGTTCAAATCATGATCTCCAGAGGTAGGATTGGACCACAATCGGGTTTCAAAGTTTAACAAAGGAATACATAGGGGAAATCTTTCAAAAGACTTATTCTCAAGACCCACAAAGATGTGAATGTTGATATTAATATGGAGGCATCCTCGAGTAGTGTAAATTCCAGTTTGTTCAAATCATGACCAACAAAAAAAAGGAGGATTCGAAAAAGTGGTTCATAATCATACAAAGAAGTATTAAGGCTATATCAATAAAAAAAACCACCTCATAAACAGGAAAGTTATCATGTATCATATTTATTTATAAGTATCCGTAGGAAGTATAGACTGAGGTGTATTCAAATACCCAACTCCCTCTCCTCCTCTGAACCCACTTTCATATTTAAGCTTTGCAATACTTTATTGAAGTTTAAGTTTCACTCTCTTTGGAAAGGGACCGTAGTCTAATTGAATTTTGTTTCATTACTTATAAAATGCAAGTTCAATTTAACACTTTGTTTCGGAACAAATGAAACAAAAAAAAGAGGAAGTATTTTTTTTAGAACACATATCATGTATCTTAATAATTATTTCAAGACTAATTATTTGTTTTTCGTTTACGTAAATTCTTCGTTATTTGAAAGCCTAAACAAAATTAATTTATTTTGTGTATATAACATGTATTGCATATTTTTTTCGGGTGGCTGAATTTTGCATTATCTGAAAGATTTTAGTTTATCTGCAGATAATAATGTTTATTGTAGAAACGAGACAAAGAAGCATTGGCGATGTCTACGGTAAATTAAATAAATTATACTAAATTCTTTGCAATTTGTAGATTTTTATCATGAAGTGTAAAATATTTATTTTAACATATCAGAATATTGAATATGTCTGGCTTTTTGAAATTGCTTTTTTTTCAGTTTTATCCAGGTTCCATAAAAATTTGTGCACCTCAATGTTTGATACTTTCATGAGGAAACACTTTGCAGATTTTAATATTCAATCAATTGATGACAAAATGGTGAGAATAACAAAGAAAATGTGCCCCTGCATTGTTCTTTGCCTTTACTCAACTAGAGCATATGAGGACATAGCCATATCTCTACAAGGCGTAAATGCAGATGGTAAAATCTTTAAATGATTCATACAATTCTCTTACTTTTTCACATCTCCATTTTCTTATCATTTACCTCACAATTAAATATATTTTTTTTAAACATTACAATATTTTTATAATTGGATGTTGAAAATTTAAAAGCAATTGAATTATTAGTTAAAGAATTATTTTACTAATTATATACCTACAAGAACTTTGGAATACTCAACATTTTACGGCTAATTTTCATGAATTATTTAAACGTTACAGCGTAGCACAGTTAATGTCTCATTAAAAAATCGTTCAATTTTTCGGATAAACATACATTCTTTACAATTATTTGTAACTCTTTTAATTTGTTGATATAGGACAAATTTAAAGAGGTTCAAATCTTCATTTTGAGAACCTTAAGAATGTTTATTTAAACATGTCACGTGATGTCGAAGTCATTTTTTGAAATATACTGAGGTACAGTTGTAAGCAGACGACCATGTGGGTGTAGTTTGGGAAAACCCCTTATTCAATACGATTTACGTTTTGCATACCGTGTAATTCTACAAGTTGTACACAACGTAAAGTTTCATTAGTACAAGGCATTGAGAATTTGTACTTCTTAATTTCAAACAACACAATATACACTTAACAAAACTTTAAAGTGTTCACTTTAGAAAATTTATTTATGAAAACTACACAAAAGAATTTTATGACATTATCAAATTATTACAACCAATGAGTCTTTTCAACAATTGGTGAAAGAAAAGAAATGATCACCGATGAAAATTAATGTCCCTTTACAATACAAAATCAATGAATCTGTACTTTGCAACACGTATTTTGTTTAATCGGCTTCCTTTTTGACAATTATATTTTTTACAACTTGTATAACCGTAAAACATAAAACATGGGCTGAATGGCCATGGATAGAGGAGGAAGAGCTATTACAATGTTGCTATCTGGATCATTCTATCAACAACTTATTATATATTAACTTTTTTTAGTGTTAATTTGTCCTTAAGCTTGTTGTTACTTTTAAAAATAAACAACAAGTATCAAAATACATTTTAACACATTCTCCCAAAAGGTTTGAGTCATTTGTTATCGTCAAATTATCGCAATTTTAAATCTTTGAATAAAATTTTAATAACAGGAAGTGCTCTAGATCTTCGTCTGGGCAAATGTTTCGCAACAAATCCAGCTTCGAAGAATTTTTTGCATGATCAGAACCACTTTAGAAACATTTCAATCAGCACCTTCAGTCAGGGTTCTCCATGATCTGATTTACTATTGTCACAGATGAAAATGAACCATCGGACGTTTTGACAATTACTTTAGACAATTTCAATTCAAAATTCTATACCTGTTATTTAATTTAACGAGTTTGTCATAATTGCTTAAATCTGTCACATGTATCTACTTTAACATGTTTAATTATCTTAATTAGCCATGAGTGATATGACCAGATGGACTGTGCTTTGTGTGACTCATAATCTTTAACTCTACTTGTAGATCAAATTAACTCATGTCATATGTTTCCCAAACTTGTTAGTTATCAATCATGCCTATAAATACAAATTTTTTGTTAACATTCGGGGAGTTGGAATCGGGACGCGCTTGTCCTTGATACTGTCCGACCCAACGAGAAGTAAAGGTCTGCAAATCGTAAAGCGGCTTCATCTTCATTTACTAAATAGTCCACCCTAGTGGCTTTTACTGACAAGCACACGCATCTTACGCGAGGGTGTGATACGATGTTGCTCCCGACACAGTAAACTTTTCTCCGAGACAGTAATGATTCAAATTTTATGCGTGCGACACAGTAAAAATATTGCCGAGACAGTAAATTCTGTGATAACTAGAAAATCAAAACATATAAATTCTCTTTGACGGAAACTTGAATCAAACAATTATACCGTCTTTCAATTCTGAAAGGTAGAACACTAAGTTATTAGGGCTTCACCTTGCATAATATCAATTATCTCCTAGACCATCGCCAGACTTTACGCATGAAGGAACAAAGGAACAAAAACAAATATTTTGTTTTCACACTTCCTTGTAACGATGAATTGGCAGTTGTATTAAAATAGATTGTATTAAATGAAAAAAAAAATTTAGATATGTTTTTTTTCCTATAGAAAACGGCTCTAGAATTATGTTCGCAATGTAAGTCAAACATAACATCGTACCGAAGTCATTCAATTGATGTATGTAAAGTGCTTAAAATTTTCACCCTGTTCAAGGAACTTTTAAAATTATTTTATTATTTTGAAGTGTGTTTTTTCTGTAATTCGGTAATTCGATCAAGGTAACTAACAAATAATCACGGCAAATTTACTTTCAAAAAAGTTAAGTAGTTTGACTGTATCGACCAGAATTTCCTCTGCTTTTAGAACGTGTGTTTTTACATTTATTTATCAATATATACGACCATATCATTTGTATAACGAATTAGCGATTAAAAAAGTGTGTAATTTATTCCTTTGTAACTATAATGAATAATGATTCAGTTCCAAATTTGATCGCGAAAATACCGCCATATTTTAGTGCTTCGTGTAATCGAAATATCTCTGCAACACAGTAGAATTTTAAACGATTGAGAACCCTGTTCAGTGGTATAAAATAAGGTAAAATTTGTGTTCATAGCAGTCCAGTATAATCTTAAACAGTCTGAATAACACATACGTCCGAGACGCCCCCGGGGGGTCTCAATGATGACCAAAAAGCATTTGTTTGATGTACGTGCCTGCCATATCCCCAAATTGACCACAAAGGACTTTTAAAAGGAATATTCAAGTCCTTAAGTAAATGGTCTCTAATATATCAGCAGATTATAACAAATGATTTAAAAAAAAAAAATAAAATTCGTCGTTTAGAGTTAGTGAAGCCTCCCACTGCGTACTACAATATGCATGAACTATTATGATTAGATGTTATATTGACAAGTGCATTGCAATTAATAAATTATATATTTTTTGCTGTTTGAAATTTTAATTAAAATAAAATTACACATAAAAGTATGTTTTTATGTGGTCTAGAGCCATCTAACAAAATGATTTCTTTTGTTATAATTTTATTAGTCTGATCATTTTGTGAGACGTCTTAATAAACATTTCCAGTATATATTAGGTTCCGCCTCCTTATTGAGCTCTGACAGGACGTTATTTAGTGTATTCACTCATTCTATAAAAAGAAGTTTAGTTTTAAAACCCTAATGTTTATTCTCGGTGTTACCCGTCTTAATTCATTGTACTCGTATAAATTCCCAAAAACTACTGGATAAAATGAAATCACTAATTTATTTATATATTAATAGAGATTATTCTATCTGACGTATCCGAATAAGTATACGTATTGAGGTATGAGAGGCATCTCGATCCCGATGCTTAAACCATCTGTTTACATTTCCATCGTTTCTTGTTTGATTTTTAACCTCATTCACTAAGAAATGATATGTAGTGTGATATTTTTAATAAAAACATATCAGTTGCTGTACACGCCTTGTGCATCCTATTTATGGGGGAGGGGGTGGGGGGCTTAAAGTTTAAAAATAAAATTCGAAAAACAACTATGTTTTTTTTTTTAAATTTAAACGTGTAAAAAAAATCTCGAAAATATTCCTAGATTCACCTCTCTCTCTCTCTCTCTCTCTCTCTCTCTCTCGCTCTCTCTCTCTCTCTCTCTCTCTCTCTCTCAATATAAGAATATGCATTGTTAATTCTCGAATTAACATTTACAAGAACACGACATATCTTCAATAATTATATATACAGTTAAACGACTTAAACTCAAAGTTGTAAATTGTAAATACATATAGTTGTACATTAACTGGGAAAGATTTAACCACACATTGTAGGACCAAACAAATGTGTATGGGCGATTCACTGAAAATGTCCATCCTCTTTTTCTTTTCTATTATCTTCTATGTCATTCATTATCAGGTATTTAATGGTCATAGTTCCCTCCAAAAATTTGGATAGCTGTTCATTCTGGGGCGGTTTGAATACACTCTCTAAATTGTAGGTCGATATCCCTATCATGGGCGGAGGAAGCAAATAGAAAGGGGGGCACTAATTGAAAAGGGGGGGCTAAACCAACAAAAAAGGTAAACCCCAATTTTCAATACCTATATATTATGTCTATCTTTGCAAAAAAAAAGTGGGAGGGGGAATTAAGCGCCCCCCCCTCTCGGGTTCCGACGCCTATGCGTATCTATGGTTTCAAGGAGCTTGGGAATTGAACATGATCGAGTTTATAGTGAACAAAGCAAGCTCTGAAAACTTTGATATTTTGTCATTGTAATTTTTCTTTAATGTGTGATTTTTTTCTCGGCTACATTGAAGCAGTTCCTTCTCTTCAATTCTACAATTTGTGCACACTGATCTCGATCTCGGCCAAATTATACGTATATATATAAAAAGAAAATAGGATAAAAAAGAAAAGAAAATTATCACGATGGACCAGTAGGCTTAGCAAAATAAGATGTATTATTTTGAAAATTTTGAGCCATAATTATTTTGTTCTTTGCATAAAAAAGAGAGTTGAATGAATGAAAGTCAAAAGACGTTTAACTTATCAAATTTTGTGTGTCCACATGGTGAGGCATGCACACAGTGAGGGACAGACGTCGGAACTGAGGGGGGGGGGAGTCCCCCCACTTTTTTTGCAAAGATAGACATAATATATGCATTGAACATTGTGGGTAGGATAAGCCCCCTCCCCACTTTCAACAGGCACGTTGTATTACAGTCAAAGAAGAGTAAGTGGTAGCACTAGTGTTTAAAAAAAATGGCAATGAAAAAAGTTCGACATCCCCCCCCCCCACACACACATAGTAGTATTTAAGTACTTTTTTGTTTGTCAAGGTTTTTCAGGGATGATTTTTTTTCTCTTTCAAATAGCCCCCTACCTACTTTTAATTTGCTTTTGACGCCAATGTGAGGGAGGGGAAAAGGAGGGAGTTACACGGGCTCTTCAAAGCATATACTCAATACTTATAACGGTCCTGAAGCTAATTATGAAAATCAGTTTGAACAGTCTCTTTAAAAACAGCTACAACGTTTTATCGATCGCGTTGATGATAACGTATTTTGTATTTCAGCGTGTGTGTGTGTGTTGGGGGGGGGGGGGTAATTGCTAAGCCGTTACATGGCATGTGAAAAAAACAGACAAAATCAATAAGAGAAATGAGATTTCCTACAAATATTTTGAAGCAAAATGAAATTAATTTTAAAACAATATAATTAAAACAAAATATTTTATACTTGACTTCATTTTCTTTCTTTTTTTAAATAGATATTTTTTCGAAATGATAGAGGTGTACAGCAGTTTATTATTTTTAATACAAAAATTGCTGATTGCTATTTTCTAATGCATGGACTGTGGCCTATTTAACCACAAACAGAGATGGAAAATGTATTAAATGGTTTAGACATCGGGATCGAGATGCCATTCATATCTCGATACGGATACGGATACGTATACTTATACGGATACGTCAGATAGAACAATCTCTAATAGCATAAAAAACTAATAAAAAGTTCGACTTTCAAACCTTTGAAGAATCATTTCGCGAAGAAAATTCCTTCAAACAAGCACCAAGGAATTGATATGCTAAAGTTTCTGATTGACAATATCCTTGTATTTTTAGAGATATGGTTTTTCGAATGGTGTACTGGGATTTCCATTGGTATCAATCAAACCTCTTAACACAGGGTTTTTTTGACTTTGTGTCTAAATTCTTTTACGTAAAATATTAATATACTTGTGGTCTTCAAGTTTGCATTCAGATTAATGGACGACTTACATGTACTGACAATAAACAATGGTTATTTCCACTCTATATGTAATATTGACACAATATATCCCAATGAGGTAGAACTAAAGAGTCTGGCCCATCAGTTTTATATTTAGAAATTTTATTGAAAAAGACCTAAATAGTAATCTAACAACAAAGCTTTAGGATAAACTTGATGACTTCAAAACCTTCATACGGGGTTTCTATTTCTCAGATGATTCGATACGCAACAACATGCCCTTCGTATGAACAATTTCTAAAACGAGGTAAATCATCTAAAACTTGATGAAACAGGAATATCAGCAATATCTGATGAAGTCTTATTTTGTATACAAAATTCAACAGCAATAAATATGCAATGCTCCATCAGTTGTAAAGATTTTGCTATCTAATTTTGCAAATTTGCACATAAAGAGATTGAATGGAGGACCTTTTATGTATTTATAGCTGCACATGTTGGATTTTTATCAAGTCAAACTGCTACTAATGGCTTCAGTTGTAATAAGTACACACCAGAATAGCAACAGTCTTAATTGATAGAGACTTTTGAATGTATAATCACATGGTCACTGTGGGTATGATTTATTATATCCTGTGGTTACCGGTTTTCGATAGTATAACACTTAAGTTGAAAATTTAATCTAGACATCAATGTTTTTCTCACCTCAATAATTTATGTATTATTAGTCAACAATACATAAATATATTCAGACATTTATTTGTTTTTGAAATAAAGAATTTCAGTACTGTTTCAACTTTCTTTGGATCCGCCATAATCTAAGTTGTTTTGAATTACGTCACCTATTTTCGATAGCAGGTATAGCGCACAGTTATTGTCATAAAAACATCGAATAATGTTATTTTGTGTGTGTTTTCGCTATCTTTTATTTGCTTTTTGTCCTCTTTATGGTATTGGATTTTTTGTCCTGTTTTCAACTATAATCTTAAAAACAAATTAAATATAATTAATTATAACATAAAAATTCTTAATTTTGGGGTTGAAGTTTTATAAAATTGAAATTTCAAGCCAGGAGCCATAGTCTGCTTGGAAAGCATGATCCACGGCCTTCTGCATTTGACAATTCTTGTTATTTCCCCTTTTGATGGAAAATATCTACAAAGAAACGAACAATAAAGCAACAGAAACAAAATCTGACACATTAAAAAGATATCGAAATTTAAAATAAAATACCCTTAACAGGCTTCCATACTTTATTTTTATAAGCGGAAGTTTGCCCAAAGTGAGGCTTATGTATTTTTTGGGCATAACACAGAGCTTTTTTTACCAGACGATAAAATTAAATCATCAAATGTTGTTTTCAGGCTTAGGAGATAGGGTTTTAGAGTGATTTTTTTTTTGCATTATGAGAAAAGGGCGTGATTTGAATAGATAAAGAGAAAAATATAATCTTACCTCTGTAAATGGCATAATTTTCGATCTCTTTGGCTTTATTAAACTTTTTACATCTGATGATAATTTTGGGATAAGAGGTTCGAAAAATTACGAAAGGGTTTCTGATTTATGGTTAAAAACATTAGCCTATCGAAATTAGGATACTATCGAAAATAGGTTACGCCACAATACCTTTTTTTAACTTACAAACCATATATTAAATATTATACATACATAAAACAGCTGTCATAATGCTTTAAATACAAATTTAATTTTAATTTTAAAATTAATTCTAATCACTAATAGAAAGACACCGGCATACTCAGTTTGTGGGGCACAAATATACAATGTTGAGTAGTTGCAAATTTTATGTCTTTTTCTGAATTTTCGAATGTACCAGAATACCTTAATTTTTTTTTTTTAAATATTTATAGCCCGATTTTTCATCGTGTTTCTAGGACTTGAAAAATCCTGAAAGGACGCATTAAGTGTATAAAATAGTTCGCTAAAATAAAATTATTAATTTCATTTTCCATTTTTTTTTCAGATAATGTTCCGGTGTTACTGGTTGCATTGCAAGCCTGTGAAAAAACTATAAAAGCTGATTTACTTAAAAAAGGAATGCTTCCGAAAAATAACATTATAACAGATTATACGGATATCCTTTTTGCTGATAGTAGTCGCGATTGTTATCTATGTGAAGAAAATTATGAAGCTGCTGATGACATACATAGATTTTACCTCAAAGCCCAAAATTTCCTTAAAGAGGGTTCATCAGTTGACAGTAAAAAAATGGATGAAATGCAAATACAAATTTGCCCAGACAACACTCCCTAGAAGACGAAAGAAGAAGATCAAGGATATATACATGTATGACTTATGTTAAACAACAGATACATGTACTAGGCGACAAGTTATTGTTTTCTTTACACTTGCTCGGTTCTTATTTTTTTTTATCTATGGACTTGCTTTGAATGGAACCGTACATCATGTATAGTATTGCTTAGAATACCTTTCTCCTTTGTTGTGTACCTTTCGAAATCGTCTGTACACGTCTTATCTACACTCTTCCTTTACCTGTCATGACTCTGATCTTAGCACACAAGCTTAACTAAGGATTTTTATGTTTTCTTTCATATTTTTTAGCATTGCTTAGATATATACCCAGAAAAATTCGATTTAACTTCAGTGACTTTTTCAATATATATTGATAAACGGCAATCACATCTTCAAAGATTGAGTATAAATTTGAAACATTTAAACATGTGATAATATTTATATCAGGACGTATTTAAGATAAGATTTGATTAATTGGCATTTAAGGAGGAATTCCACATCAACTTTTTATTTTATAGATCTCTGAGTCAACCTTTTTAAACAATGGTTTCAGCATTGAAAAGCCGACTTTAGCTCTCAATCATTTTATATGATTTTTTTTGTATTTTTCCAGAGAAAATGAAAAAAAAAAAATTTACATATTTGCTGTAAATGAATGCATCACATGAATACTTAATAAAATATGTAAAGAAAAGCTGTATAGATATTTTAAAAAATTTAAATAAATTTTTTTTATGAAAATAAATACATAATTTGCTATATAACTTGTGATATAACTTGTGGTATAACTTGTGGTAAAAATCTTCTGAAAACCAGACACAACTGGGAAAAACATGTTCGTTTATCATATTTATAAAAGAAATTGAACCGAAATAGCCAAATTTTAAAGAATTTATTTTTTCTAATTTTGGCCAATCCCGATCAAAATTAAATCTATCCCGAATATAATTGTACATTTATTGGAAATAGATAACTTTCCCAAAGAAAACAGGTCTGATTAGGTGGTTTTAGGGTTAAAACATTATTGAACTTGACAATAAATATCGATTTCTTCATTGTAAATACATGAAAAGGCAATAAATGAATATTTCATTTATTTTGAGTTAATTTTGACTGGGATCAATTTAATTTTGATCGGGTTAGGTTAAAATGTTTGAAAAATTAATTTTTCTAAAATTTCTCAATTTCGTTTCAACTTCTTTTTAAAACATGTATTTCAGTTAATATGATACTTGGCTAGTTTTATGGTGTTTTTAAGGATAGGTTTAAAAAATATTCACAAATAATGTGTTTTATTTTCATAAATAATTAAAAAAAGAAATTCAAAAGTTCTAGTCAGACTTTCTTGACATATTTTATTAGATATTCATATGATGCATTCGTTTACAGCAAAGTTTTAACTTAAAAATAACTTATTTGGATATAAATAATTTTTCTTCATTTTCTTTGAAAAAATACAACAAAAAAATCATATAAAATAATTAAGGGCTAATATCGACCTTTCAATGCTGAAACCATTGTTTAAAAAGGATGACTCAAAGATCTTTAAAATAAAAAAATGATGTGGCATTCCACCTTGACTGTTTGAGCAGTACGAAGACTTGAAAGTTATTCATAGTGCTTCATGAGAATGTCTTCGTGAAAATATGTGTGATTAACAATTCAAATACCAACATCAAGCTTTAAAAAAACCTTATTTCAGTGAATTGATCTAAAAAAACATGAATTGACAGTACTTTAAAACAAATTATCAATTCACATTGCTTTATTTTATCTTTTTGATTGAAGTCCAGTCTTCAAAGAAACAGATTTTATCTAAGATATCAGTTTTTGTATGAAAACAGAAAAAAAAAATCCAAAGCTCCAGATCCCGTTTTAAGGATTTATAGAATTCCGTGTTGATGACTTGATTACAGATTTGATTTGTTTGTAGATAGTTTTAAATCGATCCCTCTTCGTTTTGGAATACAATTCTTCCGGATCAATGCGATTTGATGTATCATCGCGGTTAGTTATTTCAAAAATCAGGATAAAGATACACGGCGGGATCGGCTTGGTTGGGAAGCTTTTTTCTCTATGTCTTTTATCAACCTCTACCTACCAGTACAGATCCTAAGACGGGCTGCTTCCCCACACGAACAGTACATGCTCACAACACGGTTTAAACGGAAAAATGCACGAAATGCTTTGTACACGATTCTCACAAACTTTGGTATCAATTGAGTTTTTTCTCTCGAAGATAATATTACGGTTTCATTATAGATTAATTAAATCGCAATTTCTCAAAACACGTTAAGAAGCTGTTTAAATCTAAATTTAGTACACCTGTATCATATAAACTGATAGAAATATTCAATTCTATGAAAGTTTTAATTAATTAATAATTGTCATTTCATATTTACTTATCCAAATGAAATACTGATATCATCGCCCCTATAATAAATTTTATTAGCTAGCTTAATCACTACATGACAAAGTACAATATTTATAGGTCATTCATTACAATGTATCCATTGACAGTTTTTATACGTATAGTTGAGTACATTTATCATAAAATCCATTTCTTACTGGAATATGAAATCAGTTATTGATTTTAAAAAAAATTGATTAAATTTTTCCTGATCTTCGTGAGCAGATTATCTATATTTTTTTGTTTTTTATTAACTTATAACGTATTCTTAAATACTTAATTCGACTAACGATTAATTTAGAATATGTTTTTAATGCAAAGTTAATATAAAGTAAACTGCTTTAACAAGATTTTATTGAGTTTTTATTTCAGTAAATATGCTATTGGGAGGAATTTTTACAGAAGCAAATGGATGTGCAAACTTTACAGAATGGCTTGTGTAACATTTCAGTAAAGAATTTCATCTAACGTTAGCATTATCTAGAGGACGGAAATCGAAAGGGGGAGGGGGGGTCGTTATAAATGAGGTGTTTTCATCTTTTTGTTTTACGTGTTTTTCTAAGGAATGACTCTAATTCTTGGCCAAATTATTCGTATTAACTGGTTACCAGGTTATACTCGAAAAAATTGGTCAAGAATTAGTCATTCCTTATAATTAAGTTCAAAATAATTAAACAACTGTGGACGTATGATTGTGCTGCTTTTTATGATCTTAAATTTGCCGCTCAATAATACAACCGTAGTAACGGAAGTGATGGGAAACGAGGGGAGATAATAACTGATACACAAACTTAGCAGCCATGATGCTTGTTTACATGAGGTAAGATCGAGCTACTGTTTGAAGTTAAACCTGGATTTTCTCATGAATTTCGAGGACTGGAAATGAGGGGATTGCATGGATACAGGTGATTCAGCTAGTTCTCAAGGGGTTGTGTCCCCATTCCAAACCAGATTATATAGAATAATTTGTGTTCCTTTTTTGAAATCAGCAATATACCCATTATCCTGTACAATCTTTCATTTCAAAACCCAACTAGACGTATGTATATGTGAAAATGAATAGTCGCAGCATTTGACATACATGTATATATTGTACATAAATTACAATGAAGATCTTCACACATCGTCTCAAGCCACGGTCCGGGGTCCGCATATAGCTCTCTCCTACCCGTGGCTGTTTGATCACAAAAACTGTAGTAATCTTGAATATTTACGCCTCTCTATTGTAACGTCATATTCAGTCAGTGGCAAGTTTTGTTTCCATCGTAATTGAAATCAACAACTGACGTCAACAGTATACAAGAAATATTTCCTTTACTGCGATTGGATATTGAAAGGTCGCGATAAAGTTCATCTTCTGACTATGCTTTCTCACATTGGTCAATATTTTAATGAGCTACGAAGAATTCTCTCCTTGTTCAACCACGGCCAGAATGGGAGAGGATCGTACATTTTGGCCGTGGTTTGCGACGATGATCATCACACATCATTAAAAAATATTACAAGAAAAATGAAATATCCTAGATAAGAAAATAAATATATAAAAATACGTGATTTATTCAACAAATAATAATATACTATTCTTCATGATTTACTTCTATTTTAGGACAGTCAAATTTTAGAACGCTCGCAGTTTGCAATTCGCAATTCAAAAATGAACTGCATTCTAGAACGCAGTGTTCAAAATTTTAACATAAGTCCCGGGGTCGGAAATTTGGAAGGTAGGGTAGTACATGTACATTGTAATGATCAATTACTACTTCTTTGTAAAAATGATAATACCATCTTTAGCTTCCAGTTTCTAGTCCTACTATATAATGTTATATAATTTAACATCAGGCTCAGGGACATCAAAGTCTCTTGCCCCGGGTTCTGAAATTTTGAGCGTAGGGTATTAGTGGTCAGTTACCATCTCTATGAAAAAGTGATTATAGTACAATCTCTAGTTTTTCGAGTTTCTAGGCCTTCTAAATGTATATTATACTACATGAATATGAATAAACATCGGGCTCGGGAACATAGAAGGTCTAACATTTTGAGGGCAGGGTACTCTTGGACAGTTACCACGCTGTGAAAAATGATGATGGAACCATCTCTAGTATCTCGTTCTAAGCCTACTATTTATATTATACAAATAAACATCAGATTCGATATGTATTATATATCTTCTTAGACTTTCTGTAAATAGCAGGCAAATCCCTTCTTCTTTTTCAGAAAATTCCTCTTGATTTGATACGAAACTAAGTTAAGCTTCTATATGTAATACTTAGTTAATAAACAATCGCATCATCTCGGTTCCTTTCGTCTATGTGAATGTGTGATTAAATAATAAACATCGGTATTGCATGGATACATTTTGATATACAATTAAATATTTTAACGCTTTCCTTATAACTTCCTTGATACTTCGCCTTTCAATATCCTTATTATGATGAATATCAAATATGTTACATTTCTTTTTTTTTTATCTTGTAACCTGGTTTCTTTAACTCTTAAGGTATTACCGAACACCTAAATGACGCATTAATTAGATATTGGATTAATGAATGTACTCCTATGATTCAATCAATGAATGACTGTGCACCAACTATTTCAGTAAATGAAAGATACGGAAACAACAAACA